AACATTATTAACATCGAATATATCATCAACGTCGTCAGTATCAAGATTGTTTTCATGATATTTTGTTCTTATATATGAAATAGTTGGTTATGCATCTAGAATAGTTAGTGTAGGAATCTGGAAAGTGGTCCCAGTCCCAGTGAGATCGGAATAGGACCTGATAGCTTTTCAAGTTGGTCCAAGGGTATTTTTCTTTATCAAATACTAAAATATACCTTGTCATACTTATTGTATTGTTGTTACTAAGAATCTACAAATCTGTCGTTTTTGTTTACAACTATGATAAAAGTCTTTCACTGATCCCGAATCCAGTTTCAAGAATTGAGCTTTTTCGATAACTTGTATAGACTTTTAAACACACAAATTGATACAATATACATCAATTTGGTTCAATAGCAGTTTAACTATTCTTTTGATTGCCCATTATTTTTGATCCTTATTTTCCTATTTCTATCATGAACTCTTTAGTGTTGTTACTGTACCTCTCTGTATTTCAAAAAATAACTTTATCACTACTTGGATATGCAAGTATAAATCTAAATATTGAGGCTTAGTCGTACAAAAGAAAAATCACTTGTTTAAAGAAAAAAGGACCAGAAGCAATACAAAATTTCAATCGGAAACGGTACTCGAACTACAACAATTTCATCGGAACCAAAACAGAAAATGATTTTGCAGATCCCTTCGCTAGGCCAGTGTAAACATATAATCTTTTAGCTTCGATACGATATTAACTTTAGAGTTTAGCAATAATATCAATTCGACGTATATAAAAATGGTTCATGTCTGAGAGAGGTGAAAAACAGACTGGGGAAGAGTTGAGCTTTACGCTTAAATTTCTGATCATGCCGCTATGAATAACATTTGTGAATAATTTTTTCAATTTGTTTTGTTTATTTTTGATTGACAATAGTTTCGACTTTTCCACTTTCACACACAATGCTTATTAAACACAGAAATTTCATTTATTTACGTAAGAACTTTTCCATTTTTTCGTATTATTATATTCAATTTCTAATATTAGTTTTGATTCTAATGGCTGTATCCATAACGGCAATATCTCCAGATATTGAAATTAATGGATTAATCGAAGGATTTTATTGGTCGAATTCGAACGCAGTTCAAGGTCAGGCCAATTTCTATTCGAAACAACAACGTGATAATTTGATTTCACTAATGGGTGAAGGTTTAAATTATTATATTTTTTGTCCACACGAAACTGGAAACGATGCATTTACAATGACTCTATGGAATGCACAGCAAGTTATAGAATGGTCTGATACTATTTCTAAGGCTTCGCATGTTTCAATTGTTTTTGGCTTACGACCTCGATGGATTGAGAATGTTCAAACATCGTTGAAAACAATTCAATTGAAATTAGAACAATTAGCTTCAGTTGGAATTCGTTACTATATTTTATGTTGGGATGATTCACCTGGTGCTGGTACGAATGAGCAAATGAAATTACAAAGAGATCTCATACAAGCCCTTGTGAATCAAGTGACAAACATTGAGCTAATTGGTATTATTCCTGCTTATTATTCTCTATCCCAAATATCTACCGCCACAAACATCGATTGGGGTAAACAACTTGCTATTTTGAATGAAATTCCAATGAACATTCGATTTTTCGTTACTGGATCAGCAATTAATCCATCGTCTATTCAAACATCCAATATTCCTTCTTTGACGAATCGTCAATTCATTTTCTTTGATAATTGGATAGCAGTTGATTCAAATTCTAGAGTGACTATGACCTGGCCACCGAATCGTGATCCCAACATCTACCATGCTGCTGAAGCAATTTCTGGTTCGGTGTTAAATTTAGCATTTCCACCAGAGAGAATAATTCATCAGATTTATGCCTTGAAACAAAGAATCAATAATCACTATGCTAACATAAATGCAGATTTAGCAGCTGAATATTGGGCAAACTATCTGATAGCAAAGAATTTCTACGATTACAAATCCTTCAAACAGCTAAAAACAAATTTGAAAGGATTGATCAACGATGGCCTCGAAACAAATAAAGAGATTATTCAACACTATCCATTTCTTAAGAGAATATTTACAAATTAACAAACTTCTATTTCTTACAAATGATCAATTCAATAAACAAAAACTTGCTTTTATCGCACTTCCTAAGGATCTGAGTGTGGTTGGTAAAGAGAAGAATTATACCTTCATCGACACTTACATTCACCATCCTCAAATGTAGAAATGTTCTTCTTTTTTCACAGCATTTCCCATGTAAAAAACAAAAACGATAAAAAAAATTTGATTTTAATCGATTAATTACGTATTGAAAAATTGATTAAAATCAGATTTTTTCCATGTTTTTTTTTCCATGGGTACCATTGAATCAATTTTAATCTAATACTATTTCTTGATGGGTTATAATTTATTCTTACTTTGGGGTGTGGG